TATATATATATATATATATATATATATATATATATATATATATATATATAAAAACAAGGTACAAAATACCTTGGCTACAGAAACCTCAACTTTGGAATTCCAGGGGGACTGAATGCAGTCTGTTGAATAAATACTTATAGCAAAATAGGATCCCCCTTCCCACGGTAGTAAGACCTTCAGTACCTTGCTACTCTTCTCACCCCACTCATAGTCATAAAAAGTAACAGCCTTCCTGAAATACTTAACTTTGCTTGATCATTCATTCAAATACTTTGAATGTATAAATCACTCTTCTATGGCGTTGTTATCCCTGCTGAAGAGATAGATCACTGTTGAATCAGACCAGCAAGATTTCCCTTCAGCAATGCCAAGCAGCTTCCTGCAGGAGCTTAGTCATTTGCTTCTTCTCTGCAATGGTGGGGTTCTCTGTTTGAAGCATAATGGTGAGATAAATGAGCAAAACCAATAGTGTGCATTGTAAGAAGACATCCCGGTCTAAGGGAATGTGTTGGGATTGATGGCTTTGTGCTCCTCCTATATAGTTTGCATCCGGTGGCATGATTTTATTTTGATGTAAAGCTCTGATTCCTGTAGATGTAAATGAGCAGCTTTGTGCTTTCATGGAGCACATACTGAGTGTAGGGTATTTAACTTAAAAACGTATAGCTGTAAATATTCTTCAATAACCTGCAAAAAAATACAAAATTGACTTGTAACCAGAGACTTGGTTTGATCAATCTAAAGAGAATGTAGTAGCTGTTTTGCGTATGAGTATTACATATGTTAACCCCCCCCAAGTGGTCACATGATCAAAAAGCTCCCAATCGCAAGTATGCTACTGTAGCTATCCGGTACCTGCCGATAACTCTGCAGGGAGTGTGCAGGGTGTGCGCTCTCAGCAAAGGAAGATGTTTACATATGGCTGCATATAATGCCCACCCGCAGAGAGAGAGGACGAATATTTGCTTTTGTGTGCTGAGTATTTCCATTAATGCACAGGGTGTAGGGAGACACACCTCTAGTCCTTGCATGGCAGAAGTCCCTGCATAGTCCCTGCATGGCAGGGTGGCTCCATAGGGTGCTTCAAGTGAAATGCGACAACCTGAAAAAAAAAACCTGGGGCAGCGATCATGGCACCAATTTAAACATGGCACCATCTTACACTGGAACATAGGCAATGATTAAAAGATAAAGAAGCTGCTTACTAAGTGATTATCATCTGCTAAAAGTACTTATTTAAATTTTTTTAAAAATGTAACCTGTTCGCCCTGGCCATACGCATATATGCGGCCACTTGGCAGGCGGCCCTTAACACCGAGCGGCTGCATATATGCGGTCCTGTTAAAACAACTTACTGTGCTGAGAGTGTGCTCCCTGCACGCTTCCAGCACGGTAGCCAGCGGGGATCAGTAAGCTCATAATGCATACTTGTCAATAATAGCGATCACATGCCTCGAATGCCTGCCAACACCTCCCAGCTTTTAGAACTCTTAAAGGGCCAGGAGGTGGTCGGCTCCAAGGGGTTAAATAACAAACATGTCAGTTCTGCATAGAACAGCCCTAATCCTCATCGTCTTAGTTCCTCAATTGATTCCACTATGGCCTCCATGTCCTTTGGGGAGAGAGACAGCACTGACTTGAGACTGGGCTCAGGTAAGTATTTAGGTACAAAACACGGAAATGCAATTATTTTAGTAAACATAAACTGCTATATACCTTTTCTCATCAGCAGTTATTGTGGTCTTGTGACTTCTATCAGTGTCCAACAGAGCACTGGTTAATGCTTGTAGGAGGACTTTTCAATCTAAACTCGGGGCTGCAGGACCCCTGATGCTCTGTCTGGACAGTGCTGATTGGCCCTGTGCTGATCACATGCACTCTCCCAAGAAAAAAAACACCTCTCTATTAATACACACCAAGCTGAGCAAGTGCAGCTTGTCTCCAAGCCTCTGTTCTATCAGGAGTTATATTGGGGACATTAGAAGGTGGGGATCAGAGAAGATATGATCAAACATCCTTTTTAAACAATGTATAGGATTATCCCCTTATGTTCCACACTGAGTATAACAAGCATTGCTTTACTGCATATACAGACTGATTTTACTGTTGTGGATTTAGTAACACTTTAAGGGAAAAAAGCCTTCAGTTTTCACAAGCACTTTAATATCACTTTAACACAGTTTACTTGTGGAAAGCCTATCCAAGCACTTTATCTGTATGGGGCTGCTCCTGTCTGGTTACATTGTATATTATCATGGTATCTTGCGGACTGACATTTTAACATTTGGAGAGAAGGAATGACAATTTAATTCAGCTGTGTATTTTATATAATTCCACCTGGGCCTCAAAGCAGTTTGCTGGCTTTGAAATAACATATATGAAAATATTCAGGAGACATAAGAAGTGCAATGCAAGCATGTAGAAAGACTTCTAAATACTAACCTTTCCTTTGTGCATTGTGTTTGTACACTAAGGGACCTAATGTAGGAATGATTTAAATTGATATTTCACCACTTCTTTCAAGAGAAATGCCAAATTAGATAGTGTCTTCTATTTATAGAACAGCTAATGGCAATGTTTTTCTGCCATATGTGAGTACCGGTGAAAATCGGTAAACTCTGTTTTATAGGTAATCAATCCAATCTAGAAAGGCAATCCACCATTTAGATGTTTAAATAATTTTCCTAACCCTAGATGTAGCGTAAACCACTACTTCCAACAGAGATAGAGTGGAGAACGTACCTATCTTGATTTTTTGTTTCATTCATTTGCTATTCTTGTTGGTTAAGCAACTAGGAATGAGCAAAGTTAAGACTCCATTCCATTGCTGTATTATGGTAAAGTGAAACGTAATGTGCATTGTGGTGCCACTGATGCATGCTAACAACTGAAGATTGTACTTACAGTGACCCTAAGCTCTGGTTTTAAAAAAATAAGACTTTCTTCAAGTATGTATTCTTAATTCAAAGAAAGTACCTTCTCTTGTTCTCTACATCCTTCTATCTCTTAATTCTATATTTTTGATGCTATGATCTGACTTGCAGTTAGAGGGTGGCTACATTCATTCTCCATGATCCATTGCATGTAGCATTATAGCCACCAGAGACGGACTAATGACTATAGATTATGGACGATGGGATTTGTAGTACATGACCAACTTATGTGCACTGCATGTTTTAAACAAATGGAAGTAAGAAGGAAAAGGAGAGATTCAGGATGTTACAAGGAGGCAGAAAAACATAGTAAGAAACAATTTCATGAAAAAACTGACGGCACTGACTGATGGCACTGACTGACGGCAATGACTGGCGGCACTGACTGACAGCACTGGTGGGCACTGGTGGGTGGCACTGATGGGCACTGGTGGGAGGCAACAGCTGGGCAGCACTGATGGGGCACTGCTGGGTGGCACTGCTGGGCGTTGATGGGAGGCACTGCTGGGTACTGGTGGGTGGCACTGCTGGGCATTGGTGGGTGGCACTACAGGGCACTGATCATCAGGGCAATGATGATCAGTGTCGATCTGCTCTGTGACAGCTGCCGGTTATCGGCAGCATTTTCCTCGCGCTGTGACAGCATGAGGAAAGTGCTGCCGATAACCAACATCTGTATTTACTCCGTGATTTGCTGTGTCATTGGACACAGTTGATCACGTGGTAAAAGGCCACTGTGATTTGCCTTTTACCTCATCACGTGACTAGCTGTGTCCGTAGGACACAACGATCATGGAGATCACCGGTGCGCGGCACTGGGGGCGCGTTCTGGGAGGACGTTATATGACTCCCTCCCAGAACTGGACAACCGCACTGTAGCAGCCATTTGGCTATAGTGCGGTTAGCAAATGGTTAAGCAACTGTAGCCCACAAACCCAGAAGGAAGACTGGGTGAAGATGGAAGCATCTGCAGCAATGACAGTGCTCCGCTGGAGGGCTTCGTTTTAAGGTAAGTTTTTGCATACTAGCACATTACGATATTATCTTGAAGCAGCAAACTTATTTTTTTACGAGTTAATACCACTTTAATTCACGATAGCGCTTTACACAATGATTGGGTATTTAGAGTGAACAGGAATTTGCTTTTGACATGATTGGATAACTTGAAACACCAAAACAGTGCACACACCCAGTGTCCAGAAACAGTTATATCACAGAGATCGTGGGGGTTCTTTACTAAAAGTGCAAAATTCGGTGCAGCTCTGCATAGAAACCAATCAGCTTCCAGGTTTTTTTGTCAAAGCTTAATTGAACAAGCTGAAGTTAGAAGCTGATTTGGCTACCATGCACAGCTACACCTGATTCTGAGTGCACCCGTTTTACTAAATCTTCCCCCATGTATTTCTGGTATGAAGTTGGCACTTTTGGCGGTGTGGAGAGTTGGGTGCACCAAATGTTCTACTTCAGTGTACAAGTTTTTCTGTATCTTTAAGTTGCCCTTTGGACTGTTTCTGGACACAAGGTGTAGATTTACCTCTTATTTTATATTCTTTCACATTATTTTTGAATATATTATATGAATATGTTTATTTATATAATTGATTGTGTTTGACGATGTGCATTTTATTAATTGTTTATTATATCCCGCTCTAGGAGGCGAGCGCGTTCCTGCCATGTATACAATAAGTGTATTGTTTTGTAAACGCACATTCAATTATAATTTGGTCTCATAATTTTATGTGGGTTTGTGCACTGTTTTGGTATTTGTAGTTGAAATTTCTTGTATCCAGCTATATTTGGTGCTGCATTTCTGCGTGAATTCCATTTTTTGTTTCGTACGTTTGGATAATTGAAGTCAATATTTACACAGTTTTTGAGTAAACATCATGTTAATAGGGATTGAGAGTTGGTGAAATTGCATGAAGTGTATTGTTTTGGGTGCTAAAGGTTGTGTACTTACAGGCTGCAGTGATGGCAATTCAGTCCTGCAGATGTAATACAGGAAGGCAAGATTTTGTAGGTTTTCTGCTTTTAGGTAGTATGTTAATGTATTATTTCTTTCTATAGGTCTAACATTCGGCCAGATAATGCCTTAGAAAACAACCATGACTTCAAGATGCATACGTTTGACCGTGTCACATCCTGCAGCGTGTGTCAGATGCTTCTCAGGTAACCTGTCCAATGCTATAATATGCTGTTAGGGCTCTCTTTAAATGGGCGGACAGAGGTCAGTAAAAACAGGCAGCTGAGACATAGTTATACCGCTCCCCAGCTGCCGACCCAAATTGTAACAGTACATCCAGACAAGACTGTACACATGCTGATGCCATTGCAATTTTTACTCAGGATGCAAAGTTTGACTGCCTGTCAAACTCGCCTATTGAGTGCGGCATTACAGGATTACATCAGGCGGTGAGTAGGCAATATAACGTCTCCTCACCTCCTGCCCAATGCCCTTTGAAATTGATACACTATGCAATGCAGTTGATTGCTGGCAAGCAAAATCACATTGTGGATTCTTATATTTCTTGAGGCTTTTTATATCTGTCATGGTTGTGAGATATGTTGTCTTTACACTTGATGTCCTATGTCAGTCACTCTAACAACTGATACAAAGCTAAATAATGGATTCCTAAAGGATTTTGTGCAATGCAGAATTAATAAATAATTAGGATGTCTACCTGTAAGAATGATGCCTTCATTACTTCTTTAGTGGAACGGGAGTAGAATCAAATAATTGTTTGTAAATCTCCCCACTGGAGACTTTGAGCAATATAAAAGGCCAGGGAATGGGGTTATTCAATCTACTGGTGCCTTCACAGCTAAGAAATTCAATTTGGTTTGAGTTGGTCTTTAAATGGCAGGTACATGTTCATACACCTTTCACCAAAAAGTCCTCCTCACCCTCATAAGCAGCCCTGTATGTTATAATACTTATCTCTGATTAACCTCCTGAAAAAAAGCAGTGTACTTCCTGGTATGTGAGCGTGCCTAGGCACTTCTGTACCTACAGCCTCGTAGCTGTATATCTTCAGTGTGAGATCCAAGATGCCGCTGCCTCTGCCTACTAGTGAGATTTGGAGTGAGATTTGGTGATGGCACTACAGTGCTATTCCAAGATGAAGCAAAACCTTACCTCTACCAAAATGGCCACCTCCACACACGACGTAGACCAAGCCATGGTAAGTCAGTAGTATTGAAAAGAAGAGCTGATGACCAGTCCCGTGCCCTCTGCCTGCCTTTTTTTGGGGGGAGGCTGCTTTCAAAGTTCAATTCCTTTTCAATGCCCAGTGTTGTGACTTACCATAAGTCTAGGCAATCGCTGCGGAAGTGGGAGTGGGTACCTGTCCAATTCGGGTACCCGTTCCCCCCCCCCTCTGCTCCCCAAAGGTGCCAATCTTTAATGGGGTGCGGGGACCAATCTTTAAAGCGGAACTTCCCCTTTTGGGTGGAACTCCGCTGTAAGGATTGACAGCTGAAAAGTTTAAGCCCAGTGTACAGTCTTGATTTTATTATGTGAGCCAATAATGATATTTGTTATGGAAGATTTGATAGAGTTGCCACCTTTTCTACATTTGGAGAGTTGATTCTACATGGGTCAACAGAAACCCCAGGCTAAGCACTCTTATCACACAGCTTGAGGGTAAAGTTCAGCTGTCTGCTTTGGAAGTTTGGTGGACTCACATAAGATTCTGATATGTAACATGAAATCTTACCTTATAGTGTAATATTTATAGTTGATATAGACTTTATACACTGTGTTAACTAGGAAACTGTCCATTGATTGGCATAGACCCCTGTGTTCTAAATAAATCGGGGTGACTTGTCCATCCTCTTTCTGCTGTTAGCAGTTTAAAGCAGTTTAGCTTTTGCCCTGCACATTTTGCATGCCATGTATTGTGTAATGATCTTTAAAATAGAATTCTGAGATATAAATAACTAATATTAAAAATGCTCCCTCCCCCCAGACACCTATGCTAACTAACATGTTTAAAGAAAAAGAGTGTATAATTACGTATTTTCAGGCCACTCCGGTCTGATCACATGATCCTACTCCCCTGTGTCAGCCAGTGGCGGCTTCGAGGGACAGGAGGGAATGCCAACAACAGATGGTTAAAGTGTTACTAAACCCACAACAGTAAAATCAGTCTGTATATGCAGTAAAGCATGCTGTTATATACTCACTGTGGAACCTAAGGGGTTAATCCTCGGCATTGTGTAAAAAGGCTGTTTGGTCCTGTTTTCTCTGCCCCTCCTCTTGTTCAAATGTCCACCTGTTAAGACAGACTGAATCCATAGTCACTTGCACATGCTCAGTTTAGTCTGTATTGCTAGAGAGGTTTTTATTTTTCTTGGGAGAGTGCATGTGTTCAGCACAGGGCCAATCAGCACTGTCCAGACAGAGGTCAGGGGTTTTGCATCCTCTGAGAGCAGAAAGAAAACTCCTCCTACAAGCTTTAACCAGTGCTCTGCTGAAGTCACCAGACTGCTCTAACTGCTGATGAGAAAAGGTATATAGCAGTTTCTATTTACTAAAATAATTGCATTTCCATGTTGTGTGACCAGATATAGTGAATGCAGGGTCCTGGGTTTAGTAACACTTTAAGCCTAAGAGTAATACCACCGCTCCCAGGCATTACCAGCCATTGTTGAGTTCAGGTTACACAGGTTAGACAGTATAGATGTTAGAAGGGGGAAGGGGACATTTTTAAGATTAGTTAAGTAGAGCCTGGAATACCGGTTTACAAAAGATATTTCAAAATTACATTTTGTGTATGCGAGGGTTGATTTACCTTATTCAAAGATTGATCTTTTTTTAAGCTACTTAGTAGACATGCCAAAGGGAAGCTATAGCCTTATGCTGGATAATGTTTCTTTTAAAACTTCTAGTTCTTAATGGAACTGTAGTTCCAGCATTGCAGTCTCTAGTTGTACAGATAAAATGATATTTACACAAAGCTAGAAAGCCTGCAGAAAAATATGATGAATTTAGCTGTCAGAGCAATGTGCAGTGCTGACAAGCATTAACCACATAACTTATCCCTGGAGAGCTGGGAGCACATGAGTAATGCAAATGGAGACCACCGAGTGGGGGAATAGCTACACACTAGTCTTATGGTTAGTTAACACCACTAAACATTTTGTTGCTTATCAAGAATTTAAAGCATGATATCGGTGGCTGATTCTCCTCCTTTTCATTGGATGTGTAGAGAAGTAACCAGAAAGAGAGAACATCTCAGTGGCAGGGAGGGGCACTGTGATTGCACAGTAGGATATGGAAATGGAAGGATTACCTCTAATGCCACCAGATTCCCTCAAGGCTCATTGTCACATCTGTGACCTTGATGATGTATTGCTGATTGATTGAGGAATTTTTGTATGGATGACAGGAGTTTTTATTGGTTGGCATACACTAGTACATGACATTAGGCTGAAGTCATTCTGAGTAATATCCAATGCAAAATTTAAACATACCCTTAAAAAATGCTTCCTGATGTCAGAAGGCAATTGCACGTCTCACTATAATAAGCCCAATATTGCCATTATGTCATGAAGCCCTTGATCTCTCCCCTACTCATTTGCTGGATACTATGCTGACGCACAGCACTGTAGAGTGTAATGACAATGTATACACCAAGTATCTATCTCTCACTATTTTGCATACTCTAAGTACCTATCTCTCGCTATTTTGCATACTTTAAGTACCTGTCTCTGAAGGATTGTCTGAGTCTAGGTCCGCTTTAACCTTGTTTAATTTTTTTTTTCACAGAGGAACTTTCTTTCAGGGATATCTGTGCTCCAAATGTCGGACTGGAGCTCATAAAGAGTGCCTGGGCAGAGTGGAGACTTGTGGGCGTGCAGGTATGAGATATTGATGGGGAATGCTGCCTTTTAATGAGATTGTAAAGCAAAGCAGGAATAATTAAGGTTTATTCCAAGTGTGATGTGTTTTTATTGGCACACATATACTCTTAAAACTGCCATTTATATGCGCAATTAGAGTAGCATGTGAGATTCATGAGGACTCTGACCCTCCTTAATTATCATAAGAGTATCAGGGGAGAAAGCCAGGAATTGCTACTGAGAATAACCCCTTCCCTGCCACATGACAGGAGCCGTATCCTAAATGCAATGTATGCCCTGTGCTTAGCAAATGTGCAAGCATAATGAGGACCGTGTGCTGTATTTTAATGGCTGCTTTGTGGCACACATAATAATAATCAGAAAAATATTGCGCTGCATACTGGTACTGAGTATCGCTGCAGTAAAACAGAGATGTTTTATCATAGGACTTAAGAATTACCATTCACGTTTAGATATGTGTAACTACATGATATATACAAAAGTTTGGTAAAACAATAGATTTCTTAGGCATTTAGAAGGAGCTAAATGTTACTCACAAAAGATAAAGTCTTGCCTAAAAGCTCTGCAATCTGAACTCCAGCTTGCGAGTCAACACTCCTCCAGGGTTACCTACAAACCACCTTCAGATGGAATCATGGGCATTCTTTAGATTGCATTTTCCTGGTCTTTTGAGGTAATGAATTATAAATAAATCGGGTGGTATCCGACTCCCGTAAACAATAAGAATGCAGTGCCTCCAGCCGTTACGGCAAATAACTTAATTAAATAATATGGACACCTTTACAAATTTATCACCACACTGTAATTTTCCTTGAGTTCTTTTCACCAATGTGATTTCTTACCATATACAAAAATATCGCCAATTTGATAAATAATTTATTTATATACAAAAAATATTTATATATATATTAATACAAACTAATCAACTGGTGATGAGTATTTCCTACACACAATCAAAGGATAACCAAATTAATTTCAATTTCAAATAGGTCAAATGTAAAATATATATCACAACAGCTTAACTGACAAAAATAATCTTGCAGTGGTTAGTAAATCTTAGTTATTAGTACTCAAGATATAATTTCCAATTCCTGCGGCCGAAGGGAATTAGGAAAATATTCCTGATATAATATGCACAGAAAACACTTCAGATATTCCAAGAAAACAATACAATTTCAATACCAAATATAGAATAAAAATAAAACTCTATTCCACAATCAAAGCAATTTCCTTAAGCAACCAATTCTCCATACACTATGCAATCTCAGTTTGAACCATCAATGCAATTTTAAAGTGGTTTGCAATGCCTATATATATGCCTATATATATTCACAATCTTATTATTACAGCACAACATTACTATTATCACGATTCTAGTAAATTCTAAATGAATAAAAAGTTTTTGCTACTTTGACACAATTTATCACCACTCCCAGATATAGCGGTCACTGAGATATTTTGGTGGAACAGCAGTCTTCTTGTCAGGAAATGAGTAAAAATTGGATGGGCAGGCAAAAGTTATCCTCTGGTCAAAAATAGGTTCCTTTAGGCGGACAAAAAGGTTTTCAAAAATAAGTTCTTCAAAAACAGTCTTCAAAGGCAGAGTGTTTTTCTCAAGAATCTTCAAAAGTAGTTTTTCCAAGACGTTTTTCAGAGTAGGTTTTCTTTCAGATTAGGTTTTTTTAAAGAGTTTTTTTTCTCAAGCAGCGTTTTTTCAAGAAAGTTTTTTCTTCAAGAGAGTTTTTCAGAGAAGGTTTTCTTTCAGAATAGGTTTTTTTTAGAGGTTTTTTCTTAAACAGAGCGTTTTTTTGAGAGAGTTTTTTTTTTTTCAAAGTAGGGTCTGCATATCAAAATATGTCTTTATATCATGTCCATTATGTTTAATATGGTTTTGTGGCTCGTCTTCCTTATATGGGAACTATATTTTGATGTCTGTCCATTGTTCTGAGAATGGTAAGATCATATTCCTATAATTTGTTATGGCATTTTATCAGCTATTGCTTGCGTGTTACTCCAGTCCATCATGTCAGATGTTTCATATTTCTCCACATTCTGATGTAGGTACGTATGTTGGTAATTATTTGCTTTAAAAGCTCAGATATAGTCTCCCCAAATCACTATTCATCTCATATGTCATTATGACTTGATGATATCCTGTTTATGCTTTTGTATGTTTTTCTCTTGTAGTTGCCCACTTTATTAAATTGATTTCGGTGCCATGATATATATATTATAAATATGTCAGTTTTTAGTTTAAATCCAGTTTTGCAATTGGGTTTCAAAGTTCGCTGCCAGAGTGAGCACCTGGGAAGTGTATTTGAGAGTGTGTGATTAGCTGTCTATTGTCTGTGTCCTATTGATAAACATTTAGTTGACATATGACTCTGTTCAATGATAGGTGTCTCTATTCCCGGCATAGACTGATGTCCTTCTTATGAATGAACCTCCATTTAAGGCTTTATTTTGTAATTGAAGAGTATTTCTTTAATAATTTATTAATCAAAATCACTACAGCATGGGGTTTAGACACATACACATTTATAAATATTTTTTTTTTTGAAAGATGCTTATTTTATAAATAATATACTTCAGTAAGAAAGTATACAATATCCAGGGTACAAGATTCTAAACTCACAAGTAATATAACCAAAAGGTAAATGACAAAGCTACACAGACCCCGAATAGGATCATTATGGTAAGCAAAATGTGAAATTGAAAAGAAAAGACACAGAATAAAACAGAAATCACTACAATTCACACACAACACTCAAACCAGCACCCACTCTCCTCCCTCCCTTCTCAGGCAATGGGAACTTATCCATAAAGAGACTAGACCCCCTAGAGTAAATAATAACAAGAAAAATTACATGAGGGAAGAAGACAGTTGTGATACAGTAATATCCCCCCAGAAGGAGTCTGAGAGATCAAGCCATGGCTGCCAGATTTTAAAGAACTTCTTAGAACAGACCTACCCCTGATAGATCAAATTAAATTTGGGTATATCCACATTCATTATATTGTAGAATTGCTGTACTGACGGCGCAGCAGTACTTTTCCAGTTTAACAAGATAACCCTACAGGCATGGAAAAACAACAAGCAAAGTGAAGTATGAGCATGGGGTCTGTTGGACTGGAAGCTTTAAATTAGTTTCCAGAAAGTAAACCAAATCTTTCCAGAAGGTAGACAGAATTGGGCAAACCCAAAACATATGTAGGTAGTCTGCATCCCCAAACCCGCAACGTGGGCAAGAGAATGTAGACCCAAATGCCATATGAGTCAACCTAGCCAGGGTGTAATGCAATTGGTGGATGAACTTAACTTGTATTAGTCTATCAGCAGTACTAATAATATCTTGAAAACAAACTTCAGTGGCTTCATCCCAGCCCTCTTTCATGAGCCCAGGACCAGAGCCAGCCAGCCGTGAGAAGTCTGAAATGGGTTAGCCCCAGTAACCTGGAGACGATTGTAAGTGTTAGTGACTAATGGCAAGATGTCCGGAGTAAATATCAAAATTTCCAGAGAGGATTCTGGGAGCTCTAGGGTCAAAGACCCAAACTGCGTCCTGACAGCATGGCGAAGCAACAATTATTTAAAGAAAATTTGTTGGCTAAGCCATGTTTGTCCTTCAACTGGCCAAAAGTGACAAAATGATCATCCTGAAAGACATTGGATAAGTGGGTAACCCCAAAACGACCCTTCCAGAAGGAGTCTGGGTGGTCACAGAGCTCAGAAAAAGTATGGTTAGGCCATAACGGAGTCTTGGGCGACACCCCAGTGGTATCAGGGGATAATATTTTCCCTCCTTCACGCCATGCAAGAAAGCACACATCTACTGGTGAGTGGGATTAGACATATTTGGTTATAATCACAATCAACACATATTTTAATGTATATGTGATCCCAGAATATAAAGTTTTTTTTATATGTGTCTGTGTTTATTCATTTGCAAATGTAGGCTGTTGTGTTTTTATTTCTTCCTTGGCTGTGAAATACTTCTTGGTCCTGCCAGTTCCCTTTCGGTTTTGTTTCAATCTGACCACACTAATTATGAATCTGTCCTAATGTGGTCAGTATGTGTCTCTGTCTTCTAGTTGGCAGCTACAATACACATAAGCAGGACGTTCTTGTACTCCTGTGGTCAGACTTCTGCTGACATGCCCCCTTCCAGCCCTACACAGCTTGAGTGACAGTGGCTCGGGTATGACATCAGCAGAAGGAGGGAGGAGGGTGTGGTTAGAGCCTCTACCTATTGCATCTGAGACATGCCCTTGCCCAGCCCTGCACAATCTGAATGAAAGCAGCTGGGGGATTGTGATGTCAGCAAAAGTTGCCAATCATCACCAGGAGTCTCCACCGCTACCCCTCCAAACCCAGAATGCATCACTGAATAACACTGTGACCACCTACAAACAATAAAAAAACAGTCTTTACAATGCATTTTTTTCTTCTTTCTCAAATGTCTTGCTGTATATTTGTATTGCTCATTGTTTAATGATTAATGTATGTAAAGAAAGACTTCATAAACACTTTAAATGTACAGTTCAGTCAAAATTGCAAATTATAATCTGATATGAATACAAGGAGCATAGTCTACCTGCTGAGCAGTTCCTTTTTATACGTACTGGTTCATGTGTGAGCTTTGCGAATGACAACAAGTGTGTCCAAAGAGCGCTTATAATGACCACAAAGGATGATGCTGTGCAGAATCCAGATCGAAATGTAAGAAGTCTCCAGTGCTCAGAAAGGTAAAAAACAACACTGCTGGAGTGCTGGTGACTTCTGCTATTCTGACCATCCAGTGATCTGGACACATTTGTTTGTGACACTGGAACACCCTCCTTACTGCTTCTCTACTGCAGATATCCTGATGAAAACACAATATGACATTACTTAGACGTTTCTATCCACCCTATTTAGATTTACTCCATTTCTGATTGTTGACACAGAGCAGAGAATGAGGATGGTAATTGTTATCTATAATTACCTACAATCCACCATTTAGTGAAATTCTGGTCATTCTCTTTGTACTAGTGGAAGTGTCAAATCAAGCTGACAGTAGAAGTGCAGTGGCTGCCAAGATAGGGAAGAGGGGTCAGGGAGCATTCTCATATCAGGCATGTCTCCTCTCTGAATCTATGGTAGTGTCGTATTTACTGTAAGCATGCTTTAACTCTGAACACTGTGCCCTGACTTTGGCTAGGTAGACCTATATAGCACAGAGGCCACTGCAAACACAAACACTGGCGGTATAGAAAAATACAAGTAGTGTATGTATTGTATAACTTAAGGGTTTTCTTTTTTTGACTGGGATGTCTCTTTAGAGACCAACTCCGGGAAAAATAATAAGCAAACAGGGAGGGCCATAAACAGATTTATTTAGTGCAGTCTCTACTGCAGTGGATAAATTGCAATCTGTCTATGCCCAGGTTTAGGCTTTAAACTGAAGTATAGCTAGTTTTTTAATGCATTTACAATAAGTGCAAACATTTTTAATGTTTATGATGCTCTGCATGGGAACTAATCAAAATTCCATAGAAATTAAAAAAAGTGGTATTAAAACCAAAACCAAAAATGTAATATATTGCAACTTACCAATCATTAGATGTGGCAGCTGCATCAATTTTCTTTTCTTAGGCTTTTTTCTCCCTGTTTTCACCTGGTGATTGGGACAGTAACACACACTCTGTATTAGAGTTCCCCCACTCTGGATAAAGGAGCACAGGTGGCACAGCAGGCAGCAGCATTGTTAGTCTGGGGGAGAAGCAAGTGTTAAATGTATTAGCATATTTAAATACAGTAACTAATTGCAGCCAAACTCCAGCTCACACTTTAATCAGTGACAGCAACTGTTTTTTTTCCCTTTTGGGATAAAGGTTTTAAATGAATAAATAAAAGTTGATCATTTTAACCCCCCCCCCCCAAACACCAGTGGTAAATGGTTTGTCTTATCTATGTAAACTGATAAATTCTGCTGCAGAGCTTGAGCTTTTGAAAAACAACTTACTGGCTTGATCGCCAGTTAAAAAAAACAGAAGGAAAGCATAAAAAGAAAATGAAAGAAATGATTCAATGAACATGAAATAAAAATTGGTAAGGTGCAATATAATAAATGTTTGCTTGTGGGTTTAATGCTGCTTTAATTAAACCCTTCCTGCAAAATAAGCTCAATGTATAACTGTATCGAAAAACAATTAGTTTTTTCTCTATCAGTGGAATTTAACATTTGAAGTGCATTAGCCCCCTTTCAGCTTTTCAGACCACTAACAAAGTGATGGTTATTAGTTTATAAAATATATGTTCAGGGCACAGATGTCCTTTTTAGAATGCATCAGTGTTAAATTTGTTTTCAGCCTCAGTGATATTTCCCTGGGTGCCCTTTCCAGCTTTCGTAGTCATAGTATGCCATAGGTTTGTGTTACAGACAGCATGATAAATAAGCCTGTCAGAATGCACTTGTTACCTGACAGCAGGAGAGAGCGGCAGGTAGAGGTATGCGACCGCCCCTTATCCCTTTACAATCACTGAAAACACCCAGAATAGGAACACTGTGCTTTCTGTACACAGTTGCAGTGCTTTCTTATCTTTCCACCTGTAATGCCGATTTTCAATTTTCTTCCAGACTCTGGAACACTGAAGCATGGGGTAGGTTAGTTTTAATATCTTTATAGTTTTCTTTGTGTAACAACATACCAGCATGTGATGTGCAAATGACAATTTAGGTGTTTTTACAGAACTGTATAAAGGAAATGTCATAAAATCAAGTGATTGCTGATTTATTTACTTTCAAAACACGTATCAAATGTACCGTGCTACTACATTTATTTTAGGTCCTATATAATTTAATGGAAAGAAATCCTATATGGTCCTGATTCTTCAGCTTCAGTATCACCAAAGAAGAGCTAAAATGACATAAGATAACATTGGCCGAGGCCATTTAAGTAGGCTTTAAGCACTACTTTGCTCTTCTTAATTGATCTTGCAGCTTACTGTCATATGGCTCATAGCACCAGAGCTAAAGTAGGTTTCCTGAAAGTTCGTCCTGTTTATAAAATTCTTTATTGACAAGAAATGTTTTAAGGCCAGTTCACTCCAGGAATCACACAGGAACTCGTTGCATGTTCCTGTGCGATTCATGTGCAGAGCAGTGCATTTTTGAATAGACTGAATCGCACTGGACTGCACCAAAAGTAGTGCAGGCTCTAGTTTGACAAATACCCTGAAACAGGATAGCAGGGTATTTCTGTACCATAATTATACAAACTCAAAGTGCTTACCACTAATATGTGCAATGATAGTCAATGTAAAAGTTCATAAGTGATCAATGTCCATAGTCATCTTCACCAAACTTCACACTAAGAGACATAAAAGTGTAGTCTGTTAGTGCAAATATTCCCTCAATGCAAATATTCCTCCACGTGCAAATATTCCTCCAAAAAATGGTGCAGAGATCACAATGTTGTGCCCCAATCCAGTGTTCCCATACTCACTGACAACTGTGGACTCTATCGCACAATGTTAAGAGTCATAAGGGCTTGTACTGCAGATATCTTGGAATTGCTGGGACTTGTGTTCCTCCTTAATGACCACCTCTCCACTGTGATAGTAGGACTCAGTGGCTGGTTTGTTCTCACATGTAAAAGGAATGGCAGGAAGGGCCCACATAGTATAATTTCTTTTAATAAAAACACACACTGGATTGTTTACACTCACTTAAAAACATGGAAAAAAGAACAGGATCGCTGGACCGGAAGTGTCTCACCGGCGTGCGTTCCACCGGCTGGATATGACATCACTAGTATCTCCAGCTACGCATTTCGACCTTCACATTGGGTGTCCTCAGAGTTAACTTACTTCTGTTCCATGCGATCTGGTGCTGGCAAATGCACTGCATTTGCAACCTGTGTTTGGGGTGTCATTAACATAACATTTTGAACGCATGGAATACGGGTTTCCCACACCAGATTCTGGTGTAAACTGGTACTTAAAGCAAACTTTTGTCTGAAAATACTTACCTCCACTCCAGTGGTGCAACACCTGCAAGTTTCATTGACATTGCTGACATCTTCACTCAGCCTTCTTCAAGGTTCACGACCTTTGGAAATCTTGATTGGCCAGGCTGTGATGATGTAATTTCCGCACACGTGCACTGGAGTTAATTTATCCTGGCAGATGCAGTGATTGTATAGTGTATACTGTGAAGTAGTTTGCAAGGAGGAAGGTGTAAAACCCTTAATGCAGAACAGTCATAGTGGGGTTGATTTACTAAACACAAACTGTTCACTTTGTCAGAGATCTTGCTTAGTTAAAGTAGAATTCAGGGCAAAAATATTATTTTTACATGCAGTGGGGCCGTGCCCACACTGAATGGGTAAATGCTCATTTTTGTCCAGGGTTTGAAAAAGTGTAGATATACTTACCCAATCTACTGATCCTCCAAGCGCAAGACCGGTCCCTGCCACTCCTGCCCCCCCCCCCCCAAATGCTAGTGGTCTTGTCTTGTCCACGGGCTGTTCTTGATGCCATCACGCCCATAGACTGCCTCAGAACGTGGGGACAGCTGGAACAGTCCACCTCTGGACTTGGGGAGTGCAGTTTTCTGGAAGATCGGAGTGCGGGATAAGTATAGCTTTTGCTTGCACCCCTGGACAAAACAAGCAGTTAACCCATGCAGTGTGTGCACATCCCCACTTCATGGGAAAATAAAAATTTTGACTGGAGTTCTGCTTTAATAACGTAAAGCTCTGCTGACTTTCATTATTCAATAATGTGCAAGCAAATGTATTTTTTTTGCTATTCTCCTTGCCTATATATTCTTTCCAAAGTTCACTGCATTCACTAAGTTAAGGGAAAATGTAATTGCACAGTAAAACTTCTTTTGAAAACTGAACAGTCTATTTGCCTTTAGTAAATCAACCCAACATGTCTCTTTTGCAATAACAAAAAAACCTTCTTGCTTGCAAATTTTACATTTTTTTACTAAAGTTCTGCTTTAAGAGATAGCCTCAGGCATTATAATTCTGCCTTTAGGTGTATATAAATGGACAGATATCACCCTGGAAATAACTGACAAGGAGATTTCTGCTCTTTACCATGGAAGTCATTATAGCTGAACCTGCCATGATCCTTGCTGGCATTGTACTCACCTCTTTCTTTCTTACAAATGCAAGTTTGAAAATCTTGGTTTATGATTATAAGCAGTCTGATGCAGTCCATCCAGATTAGATAAATTAATGACAATTGTAACATTCTAGGTGCAGAAAGGATCACTAGGGTCTTAAATGGTTTTAGAGCTTATTGGGAAATCATCCTTTACAGATGGCCATATTCAACACTTAATCAGTACAAGTGGTCATTTAGAGTACAGCAAAATTACCATCTGAAAGGTATCTGCTAATGTTCAAAGTGATCATGAACAATGACCGTTATGTTAAATAACCACAAAATAGGTTACATTTATTTGGTTACTTACAATCATACTGATAATGCATACATAGTGAATCTGCGTTGAATCTTCTTATGAAATATTTTCCGTGTATGGCCAGATTTACATGACAGACAAGCCTCCTCCTCAGGGTGTTCTTTATGTTTTTTATGCTTCTGACATCTACTCATTGACTCCTGTTGTTAATGTGTAGAAAGACACCCTTGGGCAACAGACAGGGACAGCATGTTCACTTTATCCACATTTACACTATGAAGCATGCAGTGATTGCTGCACACAGCATACAAGAAAATACAACTTTTAGCTAAGAAACATTAAATACAAATGCGGTCTAAGTTCATAGACAACTAGTAAGGTTTTCAATGGCTATCTAGCATATATTCCAACATATTTTATATAATAATAGGTGCTATAAATGTGTAAAAGTGTTATGTTTACAAAAAATAAAGATATGAAATGTGAAGGTGGTACACTGGGGGTCTTAAATGTTAAATACTTTTGACCTGTCATCAAAATTAAGTTAAAGCCCAGCTCCAGGTTGTTTTTTCATTTTGTACATTTATTATTTGTTTATTGGTCCTTTGGTGCATATATACTCTGTTGCGTATCATTGTGCCTTTTATCTAAAAGCTTGTTTTATTGTTTTTTTCATTTACAGTTCTTAGATTAGAGTAGTATATGTTATTATAGCTACCTAAAAGATTGAGAACGTGGAGAGCATATGTCAGAAGAAACAAAAAGAGATTTGTTAAAGCACATCTAAATTCAGCCTTTCAAATATCATATACAGTAAGCTTTAATTTCTAATATTGAATTTCAAAAGTTGTTTTCACGCTTTTTAAATCCAAAGCTTTTATGAAATAGTACTTGGCAATCCTGCCATGAAGGTAATTGTTCAGCCTCTTCTTGTTACTGGGTGAAAACTGTCTCTCAAATGGGCTCTTGTCACCTTGTTACAAGTTTCCCTTGTAGAGAATACAAGTAGCTATGCTGGCACACATTGCTCAGGCATGGTCAACTGTTGTCACTCTCAGGAAGCCTGAACGGAGCAAAGAGGTGCAGCCGCCAATAGAGCAAGTGTCTGTGGGCAGGAAGTGGCTGAAAAAGGCTAGAGGATAACAATAGCTTTGAGATGCAAAAAGGATGAAAAAGCATGAAAACAGTATATTCTGAAAAAAAAATAGTGGTTTATTACACACTAGGCTTTAGCAAGCTAAATGCCATTCATGCTGGGTTTAGATCTATTTTATACCTTAAGCCTTTGTGGACCATAAGATTATGGAACGCCAAAATAATCAATTTTTTGTTTTTAAAGTTCGTACACTTCAGTTGCTGTAACTAAGCCATTTCATTAAATAATTGGCAAAAAGCTAGATCCATTTGTTGATAAGAACTAATATTTTGACTCAAACCGAAAAAAAAAAAGTATTTTAAGTTCTTAATTAGATGATACAGGCAATTAAAAACATGGGACAAATACGTCCCTTGGTCCTCAAAGGGTTTTTAACAGGCAATTGTATTCTATTATTAAAAGGGAAGCATGGCCAAAGCGTTTTTGGCCATATTTCTCATGTGGGTCACAGGAATGCACTTGCTTGTGCTCACCTGTGACCCAGAATCAGCTGACAGTGGTCTGCTGTCAGCTGCCATCACAGGCCCATTCCAGACTCTGCAGGGATCCTGACAATAGGGTTGGGATCCACTCAGATGCCTTACGGGCAGCTGGCTCAGCCTCTCTGCTGCTTGGAGCCTGAGCCAGTCGATTCCGCTCCCTCCACAGTAGTGTTGCCAACCTCCCACAGCATTTTTTTACTGATAAAACATGGAACATTTACTGATGAAGCAACTTTTTTATTGACAACCCAAAAAATTACATTAAAAACTAGGACAATCAATATTTAAACAGTAAAAAACACAATGTGGAAAAACTGACAATACCCATAAAAGTAATTTGACTGGTTTACTCTTAAAAAGTCAACACAGCATGACAAATTATCAGCCCCTCATATTTACAGACAGTTGTAAAAATCACTGATTTTTACAAACTGTCAGTAAATTTACTGACAGTTGGCAATGCTGCTCCACAGCCTGGCATTCCAGTGAGTGCTGGAGGGGTAGAGCAGAGAGCTGTTGACTGATAATCATTACTCTCTGCTCAGTGAAGATCAAAAACTGAGTGATCAGCTGTTATATGATCACTCAGTTGTCGGACTTAGAGCTGGTGGGGGACAGCTGCAGCATCAGACAGCTGCTGCAGCAGGTAGGTAAGTCTGTATGTTAATTTTTACATTCCTACACTTCTCCTTTAAAGTCCTCCTCTCAGGTATCAATATGTGTTTGTTGCTGATCTTTATTAAGATTTTAACAGTTTTTGCATAAACATGGACAAAATGAAAAGAACTTTGCCTAGGATTGCAACTCCGGGGACTAATTAGAAGTCAGCTTATAAGAACTAATCAGAGGTCACAAAAACTTGATGTACTTGCATTAGTGAAATCCAACCCGTGTTTCTTTGGTTATTTATCACCTTTACACGCCATGTATTTTTTTATAAATTTGGGTTCCCCTTGAACAAACAATCAGGCACCTGCATATACACAAAACTTGATTTTGAGGAAAGGTTACAAAATGTCAAAATAATACTGAGATGACATCTTTCAAGTAGTTGATGCTCTACAGCTAGTTTATTCATAAGGATTCTTGGTATTAGTGGAAATGAATAGCTTATAAATGAACTGACTTTCTATCTTTACATTTTTAATAGAAAGAAAATGGGCCTCGGAGGACAATAAGACACACAGATTCAGGTTGTCTCTAGAAAATGGTCTTTTTATACCAGGCTGCAATGTTGTGTTCTATGCTTGTAAAACAGTTTATTGTGAGTCTTTACTATTCAGATGCACCACCAAAAGTTGACTCTCCAATAATTTACCAGCCCAGCTTCTAATTTCCAGTTTTGTGTAATAACATTATTCTGTAAAGGCATTTTTCCACAAGCAGTATGATCAGACAGTAAAACATTTTGAATTGGTAACTGCAGTATGTACCTAATATCCAGGTTGCCTGGATTGCATCTGGGCAATTTGGATTGGATAGCCACACTAGCTCTTCAATCTTCATATAGCAGGACTGATTTACCATACTTCCCAATCAACTGTGAACTATGGCACCATGCTAAAAGCAATAATGCTGACAACAAAAGTGAAACTGAAGGGTTTATCTCTTACAGCCTAAGGCAAACAAAATCTTAACTATAAACTTTGCCTCCTTAAAGGATAAAACTAACTAATCTTAAAAATGCTCCCTCCCCCACCTAACACATATTCTGGCTAACCTGTGTAAGAATGATTTGAATGCTTACCTATTTTCTCTGGTCTGGTCATGGTTCAGCTCCCCTTTGTTAGCCAGCAGCTAATGGAGCTTAGTAAGAACAAATTCACACCCCAGTATGAAAGTTCTCTTTGACCAAGCCTAGGTGGGCTGGGTGAAACACATCACAGAGCATGGCCAGAGCGCCGGCTGAGGCCATCCTATCCCACACACACACATCGGACTCATGGGGCTTGTTAAAGAGGCGTCCGTCCCCACACTGCATTCAGAATGAAAGTTAATATAAATCCGGTAAAGAAGTGCTTTTCTGGGCAATTAAAGTAGTAGCAGGCATCTTGTTATTTTTGCTCTTAAGTTTAGCAGGACTCATTTTAACAGGACATGCTTGCTTAAAGTGGTTCTAAAGCTAAAATGTTTTTTAACTTAATGCATTCCCTGCATTAAGGTAAAAGATGTTTTGCCACTTGCTGTGCCCCTTTTCTATCTAAACACTTACCTGAGTCCTGTATCCATCTATCGCTGTGCCCTTCTGCAGTTCATCTCCCCTGTCTTTCTCTTCTCACAGGATGTTCATGCAACAGCGGGAGCCATTGGCTCCTGCTGCTGTCAGTCAAACCCTGAGAGCAGGGGGCAGGGCCGAGCCTTTCTGTGTGTATCGTTAGAAACACATAGCCTGGCTCGGGAGACAGCCTGCACGTCTTATTATGGGGGCATACACAAAAGAGATGGAGCTGAGAGCGCCAGCGGGGGACCCTGTGCTATACCAATGCACAGAGCGGGTGAGTATAATATGTTTATTTATTTATCTTAAATATTCTTTATTGAAAACATTTTATCAAACACACAATCCACTATTTAATTTAACTCCTAACAGTTAACATTTAAATATTTCACTCGTACCTTTACACAGTCTGTGTACTACCCCCTTCCTCTGTATGATTCCTCAAATTCATTTTTTACTTTACAAACAATACATAAACATTACGTCACCTTTTATAATTACCTTTTATATTTTCGCCTTAAGCACCACTTCTATTAAGGGTCCCCAATATACCTCTAAGCCTGCATTCTTTACCAACCATATATGACTTTCTTTCAGGTATTCTTCTACTTCCCTTACCACCTGGACTACTACCTGCTCTCTCCCAGATCTCCAAAAGTTGATCCTTCCCTAGCTATCCAGGGTTTCCATTTTCTCACAAATTTCTTTATACATCCCCACTTAATATATACCAATCTTCTTTTCCTTATTGTATCCTCCACAATCCTCAACCATTCTTTGCATGTAGGTGGTGCTACTGCAAGCCATCTCTGCGCGATCAAGTTACGTGCCTGAAAATGTTTATTATTTTAATTTTAAAAAATCACATTTAGAAATGCTTTAAAGGTATGGCTGTCAATCAGATCTAAACTTAAAAGTTTAAGGTTAAGTAAAGCTATTGAAACTTTAATGCACTGTAAAGCATAAAATCCTACATGTCAGCTGTAATAAGCAGTTGCTGTGGCTCTAAGGTTCTGGTACATTTGATTCGTACCAGTGCACTAGGATACCAATATAAGCAAAGTCTTCAATCAAAGTGAATGAGGAATCTGAAAGTGGTGTACACAATACAGAAGTACTGTAGTTCAATTGGCTTAATAATGGTCCTTAGGTCAAGTGACCTAAGGATGAAAAAGAACAGAGTTTTTAGTTTACTGAATCATGTACACAGTTGGATAAGCTCAACATAATATGTCCATTAAGAGTCTTTAGAGAGAATTTTTAATAACCTACCAAATCTATTATCACAATAGTAGTCAGTAAAAAACAGCTAAGGCTTAGTCTAGATAAAGTGTTCTCTAACATCTAATTAAAATGCAGGGGAGTGTAAGGAGTGCTATAGCTTTCAGCCAGAAGGAGAACAAATGTAATAACTAACTAGACATCACAATACTTTGCAAGGACATTTTCTGTTAGTTCAGTATTTCATTTTTAATATTTTTCTTTTGACCCTGACTCTTCTTTTATTGTCAACCCAACATTATTTCTGTGAAAAAAGAAATATATGTGTGACTGTGGTTTGCTATGAAGACAATAACGTTGTACAGTATCTACTTATCTCTAAAACTAACCTTTTGTATATAGTTTGGGTCCATGGATTACTGATCTTTTTAATGTGGGCTGGTTACTATAAGGCCTCATGCATACTGCTGCTCCTAAATGTGAGTTTAGAAACTTTTGGCATTTTTTTGCTAAATTCCCTGAACTCAACTCAATAAAAGCCTATAGGGGAGATTTCCTAAAGCTGGTTCACTCAGAATCGGGTGCAGCTGTGCATGGTAGCCTATCAGCTTCTAACCTCAACTTGTTAAATTAGGCTTTGGCAATAAAACCTGGAAGCTGATTAGTTTCTATGCAGAAGTGACCCTGATTTTGCACTCTCCAATTTTTGTACATAAAACCCTATGTGAGCAAGCATACATAGGCTTTTATCAGAGTTTAGAAACAGCAGGTTAAGGGACAGTTAAACATCATCTGAACTCAGGAGAATCACATTTGGGAGAGGACTTTTTTGGCCAAAAAAATTGGCAAAAAAGCATGTAAATGCACCTAAGCACTAACTATGTTTACCAATTGGGTGTTTATTCATTTCAATGGCAAGTACGCTGGCCAATGTCCAAGCGCTAAACAAGGTACTGCTTTAACAAGAAGTTTTTGCCACGTTTAGCGTTTTTCTGTGGCCAGTAGAATAAACATTCCAGAGTACATGGAGCCTAAATTTCTCTGACCACATAGTAAATAAATAGCTGAGTACAAAAATATGTAGGGCTCATTGAACTCTCTGGGTAACACACATATTAATATAGAAGAGTTAAATCTTCTGCTTTCCATTTATTGCTGACTTTGAAAGACCTTGTATACTGCCAGGCAGGTGAATAGAGCTTAGTACACATGGGACACTGTCTCTTAGTACAAGGCCATGTACGTATACTTTAATCCACAGAGAAATCAGGACACATAACTGGAGAGTACAGAAATCGTTTTGGACAGTATGTTTATAGGAATAGTGTAGTCCAATATAAAATATTCCCATTAAACTCTAATATGTATTCATTAAAAATATCTTTCAATGCATTTTAAATAATTCATCAGTCTTTATGTTAGTCTCGTGTAGTTTCTGACCCAGTATTATTCGGACTAGGAGAGGAAGGGGCAATACAGCAAGCCAATTAAGCTTTACTACATCTCACAGGGAGTTGGCTGATATGAGGGGAGAACACAGGGATGATCTCATTAGTGTGTTGCTGCTCATTCACTATCAAATCACAGGCTGGGGCAGTCCTTTGCCAAACTGCATCATAGAAAAGTAATGTCAGGTCCTATTTCAAGCCATGACTTTTACTGTTTATCATCACTCACACTTTAAAAAATACAGAGACAAAAGTCTAGTTTACCTAGTTTTTTATTTAACACAACTGAAGAACTGAAGCTTTTATAGTTGTAAGTAGTTGTTGCTCAGAGGTCCATTTTTTTCTTACTTAAAGCTGAACTCCAGGAATTCAGGAACTTTGTAAAAACTGCATGCATACCATGAGTTAATCTAAACCTTATTCAATCAGCGCAACACACCCTAAAATAATACAACAGTGCTCTGAATAACTTCTGCTAAATCACTAAATCAGTGAATTCACAATGCCTGTACCAAAATGAATAACACTATAGTGTAGTGCAACAAACTAATATCTCATATATAAAATGAATAAAAAAACAATAATTAAAGTCCCATAAAAAAGTATCTTGTAACACCACTGTGCAATGTGTATAAAATAAATCTTCTCTCTTCTTCAGTGCCAACTGTGCCACCACCATTAGATGAAAAACCTCCTCACCTCACTTTATGACCTCATCAATAGGTCATTATGCGCTCAACATATGGACACACTTGTGTACACCCTCTGTGGCGTTCCTCCAGCTCCTTTCCCTGTACCGCCACAGTACACACTCCTCTAGCTGATGCTCTCATTTCATATGTATTATAGAAAATAGAAAAGTGGAACCATAGTTCATTCTATTTATAAAACAGTTTATTAGTACCTAGATTAAAAACACTTACTAGATGTAAGAAACAAGCCAGCATATAATGTATATTTTGTTACATGGCTCTCCCCGGATGGTTACATGATTCAAACATCTAGGGCTCAGCTCCTTCTACTTATACATGTTATGCCCCGAATTTGGGCTTCTTCAGTAGTACTCTATACCACAAGAGCATTCCATCATGTACACAACTGCCTTCATTGTGCATATGATGAAATTTCTAATTTTATAAATGTTACCTGTAGCTGTGGCTAAAAATTATTTTCTTCTTTTGTTGTTATGCACACTAGTTTTACATGCTTTACATCTACCACATGCATTAAAACCTTTTAATGCTGGAAAGAGGTTATTATTATTATTAATAGGAGGATCTAAAACCCCAGGCGCTAGCCTATTCCT